CACCACCTCACATTATTTAGGCCACCCTGTGGCCTAAATAAGGTTCCCCCCTCCCCGGACATTATTTAGGCCACAAATTAATTAAACAGATTTGGGGTCTCCACGATATGAAAAGAAAATACATTTGTAACTTAAAGTAAGTTAAAGAGTTAAGCTTCCTTGCTTGTCTTCAAAGTATTATACAAAATTTGCACTATGCAATGAGTATAAAATTACTAGTTCAGGACTGCACACCATCCTTAGACAACACCAATATTAGTAGAGAGATAAATTCTGAGCATGTGTAATGAATTTGTGTAATACCTTATAAACGTTTTAGCCCATAATACTCTATCCATGAAATATTGTGCAAGTGTTTGGAAAGATTAAAATGATATGGAAACGCACTTCAATGCGAAAAGACAGTGTAAGTGGTCGCCTATTAAAAGTTACATGTGGGAAAGTTAAAAGAACATAGTGTGTTCCCCCGGTCAGATGAAAATGTACTTGGCTATAGGTGAGAGTTTTTTTTAGGCTGTTCAATGGTGTGTCTTTGACTTGATTTTTCTGGGGCTTAAAGATCACTGTTTGGTACTGTGGGTTTGTAGGAAATAAATAGCTATTGAATAGTCTCTATTGAGTCTGTTCCATAATATCAATTCAGTTTATGCTTATATTGCAGCTGAAAGTATCGTCTTTTAGTTTTCTCACTTTGGCTTTTCCGTGGATACGATTGTTCAGTCTTTGTTTTGTCTTCTCTTCAGATCAGGCTTGAGTCCTTTTAACTACTATAGTAACCTACAGTAGTGATGTTAGTCAACAGCGTGGAACCTCGCAATATGAGCAATAGGGTGGGAAGTTTTTCATCTCTTTCTTTGACAGTTGCTGGACATCATCATCCTTTTTTTTTCTACTTCAATAGTTTCAGCTGATGTTGTCTTACAGATGGCGGTATTCCATCGACAGTCAAGTAATATGTATTGGTCTTCTGTCCGCGAGAACAGCTCGTCCCTTTCATAGATTCAGAGCAGTCAATGTGACCAACAACAACGAACTCACATTGTAGGTGATGGTCTCCAAGTCTGTTATATTGCTGGAACATTTCCTCGCGTGTTTCATTCGCAACAGTGTGACAGCTCCGACCACATTTCTCATAGCTTTCAAATTCATACCTG